GGCCTTGCCTGGTTACAGAAGACTACCGGTTCAGGCTCCATGTCCCATGTCATGTGTCATGGTTGTCGTCCCACCACCCGCACCCCTCCGGTTCCTAGTAGTCTTTGCTAGGGTTATTCTTTGTAGATTCCATGGCGTTTCCTTTGCATTAGGTTTCCACTTCGCTCCTGAAGTGCCTGCCCCTAATTCCAGTCCTCTCTCCTAGTGTTTTTCCCCTCCCACCACCCCCTGATCCCTCCTGTTCCCAATCCCACCCACTGCCAGTCCACCCACTAAATCTATTCTATTTCTCCTTCCCAGGGAGATCCTTGCTTTCCCCCCTCAAGCTCCTTGGCCCTTCTTGATTAGGTGAAATGAGAAACATGGGATGCAAGCTGAGCTCAAGTTCTACCGTAATGATTATAAAACATGGGAAAGTCAAAAGGAGGCAAAAGGCCACGAGCTTTGCACCGGATAGGCCTCTCTGATGACCCAGCAATTCAAATCACACCGAATTAGGAAAAGCCTGGGCTCAATGGGTAAAGTGTTCAGTTGATTCTCCAGCCACCCAGAGAGGAGATGGGGACAATCAGAAAACCACGTGTCTGTTTTCTGGGATGCAGCTTAAAAACCCCGTGGGAGTGGTTTTGAGCATCTCTGGGGGAGAAGCCTTGTTTGGCAGGCTTTGAAAGGGCAGATTTGGGGAAAGAAATGGGGGACGGGACTGGCTTCTTCTAACCTCCACAGAACAGCCCTGGTTACTTTCTTTCTGAAGTCTTGGTTTCAGTTTCCCATTATCCATCACTAAATGTTCCTTCTGATGGGAAGACACTGAAATTTCTCCAAATTATTTGCAACAGAACATATTAGAGATTGATAGTTTCAAGATAATCTCTTTCATGTAGAAGAATGATTCTTAAATGCCTGGCTTAAAACTAAACCATAGTAAAATCTAGTACTTGGAAATCACTTGATTTCTTGTTAGATGCTGCTGGCTGACTTGCACAGTGGTAAGCCAGCTGGTCTCAGTTTGGTGGTGTAGCATGTGGTAGACGTCATGTTACTTGATTGTTCAGATAAACTGGCACCTGTGAGCAAAGACATTTGACTAGAGCAGGTATTTTTCCAAAGAACGTGTAATACAAGCACTCTCTGCCTGAGAATCTCTCTGGTAAAACAAGGTCCACATACAAAGTTCCTAAATAGGTCAACACTCCATAAGTTTAGTTGCCAATAGGTAATTAAATGCAGTATTAAGACTGGGGTATAACTCCATGGAGCACATGTGAGGCCTTGTGTTTGACCCTTAGAACTTAAAAACAAAAAGGAAGAAATGATGGAAGAACGACCCTAGTGAGACCAGTACTTGAGTAGTGAAAGAATTTGAATAAACTAAAACCACCCAGGAAAAGTTCAGGTTCAAATTAGCCAATCAATGTAACAGGAACAACAACAACAACAAAAAAGGCAGAAGTGAGATGAAATAAGACTGTGGTTAGGAAGATGCGTTGTTCATACATCCAAAGACAGGGTGACGTAAAGGAAAGACAAACAGGAGATCATGTGGTAGAAGGGACAATGGCCAGCACTGCAAGGCGGCCAGGATAACTACGGCTCTGCTGAAGTAGGCACTGCCAGAACTTCTGTGGGAGCATACCTACATTTTCCTCTTCTCTGAGTTTCCTCTTCTCTGAGTCAGACTCTAAGGACAGCATCGAACTCGAAGGACAGTCTGCCTTGCACGTCTTTTACCCTGGAATTACAGAGGAGAGGGCCTGCATCTTCGTCTCTGAGACTCGGCACATAACAGAGTACCCAGAGCAAGGGAAACCGGTGATGCTTGCTAAAAGTACATTGAATGAAACAGGGGAATAGAGCATTCTTTGGTGTACAAAAGTAGTATTTAAATCTCATCTGTGGGCTGGTGATATAGCTTAGTCAGTAGAGTGCTTGCCTACCCTGCATACAGCTCTGGGTCTAATCCTCACCATTCCATAAGACCAGGTGTGATGTCACCCTCAAATACAAGTTGAGGACCAGAATGGGCTAGATGAGACTCTGTCTCATACATACATACATACATACATACATACATACATAAATGGCGTTCTAATCTAGATAATTGAAAGTGATAGAAGAAATTACATTAAGAGTGTTTCTAGAGATACAAATAGAATGCTTGCGTACAACTTTTTTCAGATCAAAAATAATTGTCATATTCTTCTGAATGACTTTCAAACATTGAAATGATCCTGAAATCGGGAAAAGAAAAAGAAAATCTGACTTGCCTGTAGTAAATAAAGTATGTCTTTTCCTTCACCAGGTCCCTCTGTTCTAGGGAAGCAACTTGTGTTGCTCTTGCATGGTATCTGTTCTATTGGGACTTGCCAATCTTTAGCTATAGCCAAGGGTCAACCATAATGAACTTACAAAGAACCAGGAGCCTTTTGCTTTTATACAAAAATACTTGTGCTATTTTATTGGACATAAAGAACTGTGTGTTTTAAAATGTCATCAGATCAGTGAGAACTACGTACTTAAAAATACAAATTACATCTTTGAAAATTCAAAATCCAGGACTAAAACCAATAGAAAATCAGAAATCAGAGTCAATCTAATTGTAGTAACATCTGACAAGAGCTAAATCACAAGTTTGGCATCTCACCTGGGTGTGGCAACCCTAATACATTATAAAGTACATCATATTATGTGTTCTTCACAGTTGCAAACAACAACATCATGGCTGCAGGAGTTGCAAGTTCAATGTTAATCCTTCATTCTAGGAAGATGATTTTAAAAAAAAAATAAGTGTTAGAAAAATTGCTGTGTAGTGGGTAGCCATTCTAGCTTTGATCTGGAAGTTCCAACCCCCATTGAGCCTTCGGTAACTGTCACGCCTACAAGGCAGGACCAAGAGAGGGTCCTGAAGACCGGAGATCCAGATGCGCCTTGCACTCTCTCTGTTCTTGGACCCTGGACAGTGGAGATTGACCGAGCAGAGTTCTCCAGAGAACACCGCCAGACTGCGACACACCTTCCCCAGACCCCTCGACCTACTTATCCCTTCGTTTGTAAGTTACGCCACTAATAAACTCCCTTTTAACTATGTGGAGGGGCCTTAATAATTTCACCAATATTGCTGTGTGTGGTGAAGCTATTCTCCATTATGAATATATTCATAACTGCCACTGCATTTTGATTTTGGAAAAACTGGGATTTACATTCTCTTGCTAATAAAATACTAACTAATCAGAAAGTCCCTGAGCACTAACATTCACTGTTCTGGGATTCTATCAAGAATTGTTTTCTTCCCAATATTTTAATGTCCAGAAATTATGTATGTACATATACATAATTCATTTTATTTCATAACTTTATAGACAGTATAGTATAATGAAGAAACATTGCTTTTTAGACTAAACTAGATCATGATGTGAATACCAACTGTACTTTCCTTGGCCTCAGATTACTCAATTATAAAGCAAGAAAAAGAAATTTGTCTCATGTTAATATGAGAAAAGGTTCATGCAAAATGCCTGAAGAGAGCAAGGCTGTGGTAGTGCACAGAGGCAAGTAGATCTCTGAGTTTGAGGTCAGCCTGGTCTAAAGAGAGTTCCGGGACAGCCAAGACTACACAGAGAAACCCTGTCTCAAAAAAAAATGACTGAAATAGGGTAACAGAAATTTACTTACTCAAAAGTCCTTCTAATGATGTTTAAATGCATGAATATTTAGTAAAGGTAGGGAATTCACAGAAGATAGATGGAAAAATAACAACTATGCCTTATAAAAGGGGGAAAAAACCTCAAATTCTTGGTTCTGATATGACTCCTTACGAGTCATATCCTGCAGGGGCTCTATAGATGCTACTACAGTGGGAAGTTGCTTGCTTTAGGTATTTAGTCCTGTGACATTCAGAAAGTAGGATTGTAATTTGATTAACCTGATTTTTAAATAAGATCGTCTGCTTGTCCTTTCTTGTTACATTGTCGCTGCAGAGTGAGAGAAGCCTGGTAGAGATAAGTACATGTAGACTCCCTTATGAAAAAGTGGCTTTCATTCACAGCCCCTTGTGCTGGACTCACTCAAGGAGTCTGCGTTTTTACATATGTGGGCCTTAAATAAACTCTGCTTTGCAAATATTTTCAATTTGGAAAGCATTTGTGGTTGAAATATCTTTTTCATTTTTTATTCATTATTATATGCATCTCTCCATTTAGCTGCCATGTGCCTTTAAGATTCACACTCCAGTTCCCCCAGGAAATTGGGAAATGCGGTGTTTGGATATACATATATGGTAAGAGCATTTACTGGTCATATTTTCTTGACCAGAAAAATAGAAAGAAAAAAAAAGAAGGAAAGGGAAAATAAAAAAAAAGAGAAATGTTCTCATATTCTTGCCCAGAGGAGTACTAATGGGTTATGAACCCTTTCAGAGTCATAGAGCAGAGAGAAAAATGGTTGCCTTGGTAACAAGGCAGGCCAGTCAGTTGCACACACTCTCCCAAGAGCTCCTAATTTATTCAGCAAATGGAGGCTAGAACAGGTGGCTAACCTAGATGATGCCAAAAGCTTTCAGCTCTGTAATGCTGGCATCCTGCACATTCACTTGAACACAAACCATCATTCCTTTCCTTCATACTGGAAGAATTAACATGTCAGTGTGGCTCCGCATATCTTAGTACACAGAAAAACGGTCAGTGTTTGTCACTTTCTAACCACAGAATATAGTGTCTGAGATTTCACAAAACGGCGAAGAAAGAACATCTTCGTGTCACCAGTTACTTTGAAAGGGAAAATCATCGCAAGCCCAGTTATAAAGATGCAGCCCTGGTCTTCTGGTAAATCAGATATCATTGTGAATTTTAAAAGGAAGACAGAGCTTATTGCTGGGTTTCACAATGCTTGCTTTAAATGACAAGCAGCCTCAGAAATTCCAATTCCATAAAGCCATTTGCAACTGCATGAGTGAAACCAATTTTGGATTATCATAAGAAATAGAAAGAACCATATCAAGCCACTTAAAGCCAAAGTTATTTATTATAGAATATTATTTAATAATGTCATTAGTTGTCATATGAAGGGTGTGTCTGAAAAGCTAGCAGTACCTTTTGAAAATGCAGTCCAAATACTTTCATGGATGCACTTCTGTTTTCTTTTCTAGCCTCATGTCTAAACTCCCCCTAGTCTATCTGGAGCTCCCGACAGCAGGATCCCAGTGCATCTCGTTCCTCACATTTCTGCCTTTGGCTGCTGCCTCTGTCATAAGATGAGCTTCCAGTACTACATTCCAGGCTCAGTGCATATTCACTCTCAAGACTATATGTAAACATTCTTCCCAAACCCTTTCTTCCTTGACCCATTAGGAACAGTTGCTGAGATGATAAGCAACTCCCTGAGTGCCCCTCTGCAAGTGACTCCATTACTGGTTTCCATATTGGCATTTTCTTCAGATTGAGTCTCTCAGGTCTCTTAGATGCTAGATGTGGGGACTGAATTATATTCACTTCTCATGCCCAAAGCCTTTCCAGGCACGTAGTATGAAATCATAATTATCTGATGAAAGAATGAATGAATAAGTTAACTGATGAGAGTCTAGATGAATGGATGAAATGGACTGACTGACCAAAATTCTGCACATTTCTAGCATATAATAAAGTGTTTTCTTAAATTAAAATCTTAATATTTTAAACAAAGTTTGATGATCATTCTAGAGTCTCTTACAAATGCAGTCTTAAATGGAGCTTATCTTTGTAATTTGGTTTTGATCTATCTTCAGGCTGCTGACCCAGCACATTCCCACACTCCAAGCATCCCCACTAAACATCAAAAGCGTCAAAGAACAGAACTTGAAAAATTCTGGGCTTGACTTAAATCATCATCAACGTCACTTGACTACTCCAAGCCACACAGAATTAGGTAAACAAGTGTTTGTTAGGAGTAATATTTTAAAACAAGAGAGGGTGTTAGAGGGCTGAGATCTTGGCTTTTGTCTATTGATCTGTTCTTGACATCTTGCAGTTGTTTCCAAAGGTGACCTTGTGGAGTGTGGACGTTTCCTTGGCAACCACCTGCAGCATGTAGGGAAATACTTCTCCGCTTCTTTTCTCCTCCACTGCCAGAGATGCTCTGTTGATTCAAAGAAAGAAAGAACCTCTCCTTTTTAAACAGCAGTCACCTCCTCAGTGGCATTGCATGTTATGCTGAAAAACAAGAGATAATGGTAATTGTGAGGCGATTCTTTCTCCTTTCAGAAATGGGATACAGCCTCTGTATTGGTGCATGTTTTACTGTAATTACCCCGAGTATAAGCCTATGTGCATGATGATAAACACACACACACACACACACACACACACACACACACACACACACACACCAGAGTCACTCTCCCACCACCCCTTTTATCTTCTGTTATGAGTATCTATGCTTATCAAAGTTCTGCTTCTGGTGTGATCCCTGTTGTATGTATCTCTTATTTACAGTAACAGTTTCTTTATCCATCTTAGCTCCTAACATTAACCAAATTAACAAAACTGAAATTAATCCAATATCATGGTCACAAAGCTTGGTTGGAGCAACTCAAACTAGGAAGCACAGGCAACCCAGTGTTACTGCAGGATGACATGGAAACTGTAGTACACCTTGAAATCAATGTTGGTTACAACCCATTTTTTTTCATTCACATTTATACCCAGGCTTTCAAACAGTACACTAACACTTCAATTGCTGTGCTCTTTTCCTCCCAGAAGCAGATTAAAACTTTGTTCTTGCTATTGATAACACTTGTTTGTGGCAATTTCATATGATTCAATGACAATGTTCACATCACAAAAGAGCTGGGAACCCTGATACTTTGAACATATACCCATATTCATGAGGTTATTTTGTCTAGGTTTTAATGTTCCTAGAAATCATTGAAGTTATGTAAAGCTTTGTCAGGAAAAAAAATCATCCAGAGAGATGCTTCCAGATGTTGAATTTATGTAAATAACTAAATATAATAGACTTTCATGTTTAAAATTAAATATCACAAGGTTAAAATTCACAACTAACCTCTCTCAATATCGAGGCCTAAGCATGAATGGGAAGAGTTTAATGAGGTCTTTCATATGCAAAAATGTATAGAATATAAACCTTAAAAGTAGTTAAAATTTCAAGGATTTTGAATATATTTCATTATAATTAACTTGGAAATTTGCATCCATATTGAACCAGAGGAATAATGTAATTCCTTATTTTATATAAGAAAATAAACACCAAATGAGTCATTTGGTCACAGATCTTTGAAAGATACTAGAAATTTTCTTGATTCTTTTTTGATTATCAGGTAAAATGATCACCATAATTTTTTTCAGTATCACAACTGCATTTCACTTCATTGTTTTATTTTGTAACATAATGTTCAACTCTCAACAGTATCTAATGCATATGTGTATGTACATAACTTCAGTTAGGATTGTTCCCAACTAAACAAAATCACACACTGTCATTTAGAGTGGTTTAATGAACATGGGATAATTTTAGGACATATTGTAGATGTAACCAACCATCTTATTAAATAAGAAACACAGAATCAATGCAAAGAAGAAAGCCAAGAGGTCAGAGCTAAGAGCCTTACCTGCCTGCTGCAGCTAGCCTCTTAAGCCAAGAGACCTCTCCAAATGAGAGCTACTTCCTGTCTGTCTTTATATAGACTTTCTGTTCTGCCTTCTCATTGGTTGTTAAACCAACCACATGACTGCCTCGTCACTGTCTGTTGTACAGCCCTCCAGGTCTTCTATGGTATTGAGATTAAAGGCGTGTGTCTCCAATGCTGGCTGTATCCTTGACCACACAGAGATCTACCTCGCTCTGCCTACCAAGTGCTGGGATTAAAGGCGTTCACCACCAACGCCCAGCTTTTGCTATGGCTCTAATAGCTCTGACCCACGGCAACTTTATTTATTAACATACAACTAAAATCACATTTCAGTACAAATAAAATACCACCATAACATATAATTATGAAAATAGCATAGCACATCCCATAAATATGTACAGTTATTATATACATGTAAAAAAGTTCAAAGTTGCCTTACAATGTCCAACAAGCATCATTGCTGTAACAGTTTGATAGAAATGAGACTGGTATTTCTGGAATTCTCCTTCTCATTGTTCATATTTCCTCCTTAATGGCCACAAAATGGATGCAGCTGTTTTCAACAACACAATCTGCCTCGAAGAACTAAGAGAGATAGATCCCCTAATATTATGTCAAGAATGCCTTATACCATGCCCTAACATCAGAGAATGAAAAATTTCCCATAGAAAAGTTTATACCCATTTGTCATCATCCCTGTCTAAAGGATGTAGATACTCCCCCTTGCTAGGGAACATGAGAACTTAGGTTTTCAATTATTTTACCTAGGCTGATAATTGATAAATGGATTACAGATACTGGAGTATAAACTGAAAATAGTAAGTTTATTTGAAAATAGATGAATGAACATATAAATATAATAGATAAATTATAGCTGTAGAGAGACAAATTATATATGGTTGATGACACATAGTTGATGGAAATATGGATATATATTATAGATAAAGATAGATATGTAGATAGTGGGTGGATGGTTGAAAGCTGATAAATGCTAGATGGATGGTAGATAATAGAGAGGCTAGATAAATGATAGATTGGATAGATAAAGAAATGATGATAGATAATAGATTCCTGAATATAGATAGATGACTGAGATAGATATATGTAGATGATAAATAAATAATAGATAAAATAGAAATTAAGAAAGAAGCTATGAAAGGGGTAAAAAGTATCCTGCTATAGTATTACAATAAAATTAATTATCAAAAATGAGAGTCATTACATGAAACCACATATGAATTCTACCAAGTTCCTTCCATGGTGGACAGTTGATGAACACAAAGTTCATCCTCACTTTCATCGTGTCCCTAGTGCCCAGAGCAGACACAGTTCTTAGAAATCTCAGTAAACCTTAGAAACCAGTGTGTTTTTCCTATTAGCAAGTTAAGATGAACACCAAGAAGGAACTCCTAAGATCCCTAATCACATTGGTACCAGTCAGTACATTGGGACCAGTGTAAACATTTCTTCACGCTCTTTTTAAAACAGAATTTGAAGGACTATGCTGTTGTGGGGTCTGTGTTGTTCACCTTGAAATCACTTCCAGGCACTCTGACACCACTTACCATTATTAACATTCCCTAATATCCTTCAGGTACACAACATGAAAGCAAGGAGGGCTGTATGATTGTCATGCGATCAGGGCGGCAGCTTCAATTTCCAGGACCTCTTTGCCTCTCCTCCTCCCAGGCTCCCCTGTACTTTGTAAATTATATGAAGGGACAGGCTGCTGTCTTGTTTACTTTATCTCAGTTTACAATGGTGACTTGTATAAACCATACATTCAACAAATACTAGATGCCTATGTAGGTAAAAATTAATCCATTGTAGAGCAGTCAACATTTAGGCAATTTTGTGTGCATTAGGGTGAAATACAATGAAATCTGTCAAACTTTTCTGCAACATGTTAAGTATCATATCTTAATATCATGTCATAATGATCATATCATAATCTCAATAAAAGAGATTAGACTACAGAAATCTTGAGCATGGGACTATATGCTTAGCTTCTGTGTCTGTCAGCAAGCCCAGAGCCTGACATATAATAAATGCTGGTAAAATGACTTTACCTTTAGTGATTACCAAAATGAGGAAAATCAATGCTTTGGTTCCAATATTTAAAATAAAACAAAATTAGCTTGTTTCCTGTGGATAGTCAATCCCTGGACTTTATCCTAAGGATCAAATTCAAGCTCAAGTTCAAGATCATTCAGTTTTCCACACAGAAGACCAATAAAAATCCTAGAAGAAATTCACACAATGAAAGCCAAGTTGGGCACACACTCGCACATTCACCACACACTCTCGTGTCACAGAAACAGCCTCTTCCCGGGTCCTTCTGTGCTGGTAAAATAAGTTCTTCTCAAAGAGGATAAAAGGATTCTCCATGGGGACCCTTGTGGATTTGTTGCCCTGAAGAAGTAGAATAATATGATCCTTTGAAGAATAGGATTCTATAAAATCATGTTTCTTTTAAATTTTTATCTGTACAATCCAAGTACAATTTTTAAGCATTAAAAATGAAGATAACGTGGTTGTCCCACGCCTGAAGAGCTAAGACTCCAACTTATGAAAAGGAATAGGTGTTAATACTCAGGTCACGTGTAAAACACAGCTCGCTGCCAACACCATGGTAGGCAATGTACATTGGAGGCTCAGGTAAGGCTAACCAGAATCTCCTGCCAGGCGGCCGTGCATTCATAAAAGCTCCTTTAATGCTGGCTCTTCTCATTCAACTGTATTTTCACCAGCTTAGCCAGGACAGCAGGAGCCACGCTGCTGCTGCCCTGTGGGTTTGAACGTACACACTGATCTTGATGATGGTAAAGCCGCAGTAGCCCAGGCTTTTCTCCCACAAGCGCAGCCCCAACACTTGCAGTTCAGGCAGTTTATTACACTGAATGAAAAGGAAGAAAAAAAAAAAAAAGCCAAAGCCACAGCAAACAAACAAGTAGACAGAAATAAGTCAGTTAGGAAGCAGCAGGCTGACACGTTAATTGAACATTACCTTTTCTTCCTAGTGAGGGGCATGCATCACGGTCATTTCTGTCTTTTCTCAGAGTGCTGATTTCAAACCCCCAGCTGAGAAGGCAGCTGTGCCGAGCAGGAAGCGGGCACGCGCAGCAGGAGTGCTGCATCCTAATGCTACTCCCAGAAACTCTCGCTTCATTTCGGTTGCTGTGTTGTCATGAACAATGCCAGACACGTGCAATGATGTCCTCTTTCCCCAGCGGCGGAACAAAGATCACAGAGATGGGTTTTCTAAAGACTTCAAAAGCCCCGCACCACCTCACTTTTATTGTTATTTTCAATGTAGTCTCCAAAGAGAAGGGATTGGCTGGTTTTCATGATGTCTGAAATTCGGGAAAGCTCTCATTAATTATATCTTAACAGGATGGATAATGGCAAAACAGACGTGAAAGTTGAAGCGTATGGGAGGAGTGTTGATCGTTCCTCCCCTCCCCGTTTCAAAGAAAGAAAAACAGAATAAAGACAAAGAAAAGAGCTGCGCAGTTGCACGCCAGTGTTTTCCATCTTCCCTACACTGCAACATTGAAACACTGTTCATTAATAAAAGCAGAAATTGTATTTTATAGATATGATGAATGTAGCAAGGCAAAAATCAAATGAGCCTAAAGTAATGCTGCATTTCTTTAAAGCCCTTGAGCAGAGAATGAGTTTCTATCTAGTACCCTGTTACTCTGGAAGAAACATAAAAAATAATTAAAGGGAAATACTAAGCAACATAAAGGTTTCAGGTGCTAGCTGCATGGCCTATGGATACTACAGGACCGTCACAAAAGAATCAAGCATGCCACAGTAGTGGGAATTCTGATGAGGCTGAGACTTAAGAATCATATATGAGGCAATTTGTTTATGTTTTGGAAATAGGAAATAATGATACACATTCCTAACATATGACGTTCCATTTATACATATATAAATACATGTCTATGTTGGTATCTATTTTAAGGACTTTTGCTTTTAATATTTAAAATCACAACTTTACATACCTATTTTATTCTTTCTAAGTATTTGAGTGCTTTACCACAAGGCTACAATCAGTCATAAAAGTCAAAACATTTGATAAACAAGATTAATTCCAAGACATTTTAGGAAATATCTTGCTTTTTTATGTTCACTTAATTATACAAGTTAAGTTTGAGGAACACATGGAGTTAAATGCTGAAATTCATAAATTTGTATTTAACTATGGCTTACGTCATCGAATAGATATTCATGAGCATAAGCATAGTACCCGGAAAATTTTGTCATACTAACTCAAAACAAGATTACATATAACAAAAAAGCAGATGTAAATATCATTGGCACATCTTCACTCAAGAAATTTTCCTGCTTCTTACAAGAACATGCCTCTTTCAAAGGATCCCTCTCTAGAAGAGGAAAAGAGGAAACACAAGAAAAAGCACCTGATGCAGAGACCCAATTCCTGCTTTACATATTTGAAGTGCCCGGGGATGCTGTAAAATCACCATGGTCTTTAACCATGCATGAAGATGGTCTTGTGTTTTGGCTGCTCCACTATCCTTTGTCAGCCCACAGGCAGGAAAGCGAGGTTGACAGAAGGATGCTCCTTCAGGAGGAACTAGTACTGTAAGCATCTGATTCAAGATGAGCAGGACCATACCAGGAAACACATTTTGGAGATGCACATTCACTATCTCAAGAAACACATTCTGGAAACCACACACACACACACACACACACACACACACACACACACACACACTTGAAAGAAAAAGGAAACTTCTTTGTTCATCAGATAAATGTTCCAACCAAAAATACTGGAGGAAATAGAAGAATGACATACAGCTACTGTGGAGCAATAAACTATCAATTAATTTGCCTAAAACAAAGCACGGTTATCCCATTTTGGAACTTAAATGCGCTAACTTCATAGAGTCTTGCAACCCAAAAGTGTTGACTTCACTTTTCCCCAGATGCTTGTATTAATTTCTTTCACTTGTCTCTTCATAATACCCATTGTGTGATGTCTACCAGGAGGAAGAATTTCCCCTGAATAAGTCAGTTTTGTGTAATATAACAACCTTTCTTAAAATATCATCCACTTTTGACAGCAACTATACTAAAGTCTAATCAAATATGCTACTTAATCTAGAAGGTGAATAAGATAATTCTTAAAAATTAAATAAAATCTTTTATGTTAATATTTTAGAACTGTGTTTTTCATCATCCTCCAAACTAATTTCCAATAGTCCTTAAGTCATTTCAAAAGCCATTAAGCTCAGTGATAGAATTGGACTTGGACAACAGTAAAGATGTATGAAAATAGGGGAACGCAGACACAAAGGGAAAGACTTGACCTGATGAACCGCATAAAATTTTCATGTGCTAATGGTTATTTTTCATTTTTAATTGACACATGTTTGCACATCATTAGCAGAGTGTGGTAATGTGATACACATGTGCAATTTAATGACCGAATTTATCTCCTCAGACACAGTACCTACATGATGGCAGTGCTTGAACACATTTCTTCTGGCTATTCTGAAGTTTATAAGATGCTGATGTAGGCTACAATTGACCTTTTATTTTTGTGGGACACCAGGACCAGTTCAGCCTGTCTCACTGTGCTCCGATCCCTATTACCCAGCCTCTCTGTAGCCACCCACCTTCTCTCCTCTTTGAAGGCACCACTGGTCACTCTCTCATTTTATAAAATGAATATTTAGTTTTAGTTTTGGCAAGAAACTAATAGTAGTTTAGACTAGACCATACATTATTTTCCACTTAGTACTTGAAAAGCTAACATGTATTTAATGAGAAATATATGACTTCTCTTAGGTAATTGACAATGAAAAAGAACAGAAACAAAAAAAATAAAAGCAAAGATAAACCAAATAAACATAGGAAAAAGAAACATCAACTTTCTAGATAAGCATCAAAACTCAAATTCAGTTAAAAATCCCACTTCCATTTATTAATTGGTTTTTAAATACAATATTACACAGCAATCACATTAGTGTCCATAGGTAAATTGGTATATAAAACTTGACAGGACACACAACCAAAGTGATTACTCATTCGATACCGAAACCATTTATGGGTGCTTACTTTTTTAAAAGTCATATATTTAATAATGCTTAATATAGTATATCAACACTAGAAAAGCCAAAATACAAACTTAATGTCCAATAGAATAAATCATCAAAAATTAAAATGAAATTTGGCCCTGGCAGTGTGCAGAAAGAGGGAAGCTGTGAATATTACCACAACCACATGATTTGTTGCTATGCCCATGTCAAGACCCAGGCAAGGACAATTTGGATCCACTTGATCTGGAGCTTAGAAATCAGAGAAGGTACAGGGAAGGCAAGAAGATCCAACTGGGAATAAGCATTTGTTCTATCTAGCTGGTGACCTAAAAGACAACATACATTTTTATAGAATCGTTTATGTAGACATAGTCACCAGGTAAAATTTTCAAAGCAATTTTAGTTTGGAGGCAATCACTTCAAATAATTTCATAATTTACAAATGATGTCAGGATCCCTGTGACGAATCTTCATTCCTATGGTAACAAATGGCCACTTGCCACAGCACCATTCTTGAGTCAGTGGAGACTGCCCACAAAGAGTCAGCTGGAAAGTGAAAAAAGAATCTCCGGATGTGATCTGTTCTCCAAGGACACATGACCTGTCTGTTAAGATATCCCCATAGGACAATAAGGAGAATGTTATGAGACATTGCTGTATTTCTGCCTAGTCTGAATGGAGAATTTGGCTAACTGTGCAAAAGGTAGAAGGAGACAATTCTTCGAATTTTACTAGCTGCAGATTAAAGATCAGTCTTAATTTGATGGAGAAAACTTTTGTCAAGTCCCAAAGGTATAAAAAGACAAAGTGCAGGGAAGGATACAGTTCAGACTTTAAATTGGGCTTGGAAGTGATGCAGGCATAGTTACATATGGCAGGCAAATGGAGACCATGCCAACAGAGGCAAGCGAGTGTGAGGATGTGTGAAGTCAGATCGTGCATATGGGGAACATTAGCACAGAGAACAAAAAAGAGAATATCTGTACAGCAAATGGGCCATGTTTGCATAATGGAGACTCAGTGGAAGGAAGAGCTTTTGAATACAGCATGAAAGGGAAGCCAGTTTCCAGGTGGATACCCCTAGACTCTATCGGCTTTTGATTTTCCCCTTCTGAGATCATGGTCATGTGTTTCTTTCTTTGAACAATCACTTCCCTCTCTTCTGTCCTATTAGCAAAAATGTGTGCAATAATCCTTTCTTCTGTAAACTGTAGACACACCTAGGAGACATCGGGAGATATGAACAAACTGCTATTTTCGTCCTGTTTCTTGTTTAGAGTAACACTAGCTTCTTCTGTTAATGATAGGCGGGTGTGCTAATTCAGAGTCGGGATGAATCAAATAAAAACTGCAACAGAATAACTCATGTGTGTTTACAGACCTGTTAAGAAATTTTCTTTTAAATGTAGTAGGCTTTGTTTGTTATTTTAAAAGATTAAAAAGTGACAGTTCTTGAATCTACATTCAAGTCTGTCCCACTTACAGAAGCCGTTCTGTTAACATGCGTTCACCCAGAAGAAAGCATTTTCACACTTGCAATGTTACCCTCCTACTTAAAGCAGTAGGGCATGTGATATGTTTTAACATAAGATAAAATGCATGTAAGGTAGGTAATGGCTATGTAATGTTGAATGACAAATTTGCCAGTTTATAACAACAAACATGTGTTTCCTCACATGTCGCAGGCCCCTCGGCATAGTTTAGCCAAGTCCACTAACCTGACATAAAGATGCCAGACATGACTGCAGTCATTGAACCAGCCATGTGACTAGAAAGAAGTGCATGGCCTAGCTCACTCAGATGGCTCATTCAAACAGCTGTTGGTAGGCCTCAGTTCCTGACTCAGTGCTTTGTCAGATAAACTACTGGCACACTGTGTTGGGAGTGTGAGGAGGCTGGCACACTGTGTCTGAGCTCAGGATTCAGAGAGAGAGGAGTTCTTTTGCTCACTTAAATTTCTCCATTTAATTCACTAGGGACGATGCTACACAGAGTCTTGGTGGGTTTTCCCTACGCAGTTTAACCTTTCTGTAAACACCTTTACAAACACAGCCAGAGGTGCATTTCCAGGCTGATACTAAATTCTGTCCTGTTAACAATAAAGATTAGCCATCAACTGACCTTACTGGATAAAAAGCCTTGTGGGTATAGCACACATGGAAAGGTGGGAGGGTTAGCATATACCTGGATGAGATGCAAAAGGGTGTAAGAACCAGAGCCAGGGGTTTTGGTTGGTTGGTTTTGGTTTTGTTTTGTTTTGTTTATGGAAATTATCTAGATGGTTCCAGATAAGAGCTCTAAAGACATTTTGAGAATGAGTCAACTCCCAGAATGCAAGTCCAACTCACAGTGCAGACACTCTTGGTTTGCAAATGATTAAGGGATTTCCATATAACCGACTGGAAGGTGCGGTGGTGGAGAGCCTGAAGTCTCTATGGCTGATGATTAAACTACAC